AAAACAGATGAAGGCTTGTAGGTCAGTGTCCAGTGAGAGGGGGGTCAGAAACACTTGTGTGTGAACGGCTATTTGTCTGAGTCTCTGCTGGAGGGGAAGCTGCTGTATAACCTCTAGAGGCATTTCCTTTATTTGTATTTGGCAGAAGAGATATGTTGAATTTGTATTGTTTTGAATTGTTATTTTTTTTAGTAGATGGCACAAGGCACTGAACCTCACTATGAAGACTAAACTACTTTGTATAATAATCCAAAGCATTTAGGTAGCTCAGTGCTTATGTGTCAGGGCCCTGATGGGTGCCATGAGGTGATAGGGGTGATATAGTGGTTGTACCTGCGTGCTGTGTTGTGGGGAGCATCGTGCACTTACCAGGAACAGCTACAGCAACAGCACCAGCAGAAGCAGCAGGCATTGGAGGCGTTGGTGGGGGTGTTTCCCATTCTGTGGCGTGCTTGGAGGACACTGGCAGCTGCTTCCTGATGAACCTGCATCTGTCTCTTACGCATCTCCAGCCGCTCTGAGCCCATGGACTGTAGAGCGAGCACAACAGAGGGGGAAATAGCCACACATTATGAAATCACAAATAATTACATAACAATGAAATGGTGTGCGAGACTTTTTTTGATTATAGTATCTGCATGGACGAGATTGTTATAATGGGCACTAGAATGCACGACAATGACGCGTGGCGCGCAACTACATGAGCGCTCTCCTGTTCATTTCCCCAGTTTCTTTTCATGTTAATAGCTACAACTCCCTTTTAACATTCTATTTGTTCTGAATGATCAGTGATTCCTAATAATACCGACAAGGCGTAACTCTGACCGCAGCGGTCGCATCCCTCGCATCCATAGTCCGGATACTTATGATCGAGTGGAGCCCCACCATGGCTATTTCTATAGCAGTTATATTCTATAACAGTTATGTGATAATTTAGTGACAATGGTTACACACTACAAACAGAACATCTGCAAATAGTAATTCTCACAAAATGTTACCATAAGAACGAAGATGAACATCTGTGGTTGCTGGAACATACAGAGATGCCTTGATAGCGCATTCCCCAGAAACAGACAGATTATAGAGCCCTAGCCTATACTGTGTTTGAATATGAACAATTACATACTAGCGTGTACTCACTGTGTCACCATGAATGCCAGAATACAGGTGCTTTTGCCTCTGTCACATCGGTCCGCTTCGACTTGACACAAACCAGTTGGTTTCCTCTCCGCGCATGCGTTCCCAGCGCAAGTGTGAACAGATTTCTTTGCGCCCATGAATTAACGACCGGAGGACGGAGCCCGAGCAACTGACTGTATGTGACAGGACAGATATGCGTTCCAACACTGTGTCACTTTAGGGTACACCTTCACATTATGATCTGAGAT